AGCGGGGTGGGAGGAAAGAGAGCAGGGTGTGAGGAAAGAGAGCGGGGTGGGAGGAAAGAGAGCGGGCTGGGAGGAAAGAGAGCGGGCTGGGAGACCTACCTCCTATTCTTATCACACCATCATCCTCTGAAGAGGTTACCCAAATTATCGATAGGGAACTGGGATGCAGACTGCTCTGGCTTCTTCCATGCTGAACAGGGATGCAGGATGAGGTAATTGGAGTACCCCTTCAGTGGGTCTATCTAAAAGACTCCCAAATTGCATAACTCTTATCTGTAGGGAGAAAAGAAGGTCCTTGACTAGTGAATACAGGATGTGAAGGAAAAGTAAAGGCAAGAGTAGTTAGCATTACAAGTTCTAGACAGGGAACCAGAAAAAAAGTCAGAACAGGGCAAATTTCAAATATTCATATCAGAGTCCATTGAGATTTCTTGATGAGAGCTTCCAAAAGCATCCCTCTTTTGGGTTCCTCCTCATTTTTCTTTTGTCTGCCAAGGCTGGACTCGAGTGTGATGGACTCAGGATCTGTTTTCAGGCACTATGATAGTTGTTGGAGTGGCTAGAATCAGTGTCAGTTCCCTCTCAAAAGCTTTACCACGTGGGGGCAGGATCCAGGTGCTCTTGGGCGGTCCCCTGAGTTCTCAGCCCCTATGCAGAGGTAGGCCAGAACAGGCACTCTCAATTTCATTTTTCTTTACCACTGAGTAGAACTCTATTGTGTAAGTGTACCAGTGTTTCATTATCTATTCATCAGTTGAGGGACCATTTAGGTTGTTTCCATTTGTTTCTTTTTATTTTTTATTTTTATTTAATGTGTATAGGTGTTTTGCTTGCATGTAGGTAGGTGCACCCGTGTCATGCTATGCCCATGGAGGTCAGAAGAGGGTGTCAGATACCCTGGAACTGGAGTTACAGATGGTTGTTAGCCACCTTGTGGGTGCTGGGAATTGAACCTGGATCCTCTGCAAGAGCAGTCAGTGCTCTCAACTGCTGACCCATCTCTCCAGCCGTTTCAGTTTCTTAGCTCTTGTGAAAAGAGCAGCAACAAACAGGGATGCACAAGTATCTCTGCAGTACGATGAGTCCTTTGGGTACATGCCAAGGAGGGGTATAACCAGATCATATGGTAGATTCATTTTTAGTCTTTTTTTTTTTTTTTTTTTTTTTTTTTTGGTCTCTTTGAGACAGGGTCTCCCTTGTAGCCCCAGATATCCTGGAACTCATTATGTAGACCAGGCTGGCCTTGAACTCACAGAGATCCGCCTGCCTCTGCCTCCTGAGTTCTGGGATTAAAAGCATGTGTCACCACGTCTGGCTCATTTTTAGTTTTTGAAGAGTTCTCCACACCGATTTGCACACTAGCTGCACCAGTTTGCAGTCCCACCGGCAGTGAATAAGGGTTCCTCTTTCCCCACATCCTTGTTAGCATTTGGGTCATTTCTGTTCTTGATCTTAGCCATTCTGACTGGGGTAAGATGACGTTTTAGAATAGTTTTGAGTTACATTTCGCTAATTACTAAGGATGTTGAACACTTTTTAAGGTGTTTCTTGACCATTCTTATTTCTTCTTTTGAGAGCTCTCTGTTCAGATTGGGTCATTTGTTTTCTTGATTCTTTGTTTTCTGAGTTCTTTGTGTATTCTGGATATTAATTCTCTGTCAAATGTATAGCTGGTGAAAATTTTCTCCCACTCTGTGGGCTTCCTTTTCACTCAGTTGTTTCCTTTGCTGTACAGAAGATTTTTAGGTTAATGAGGTCCCATTTGTTAGCTGTTGACCTTAATTCCTGAGTTACTGATGTCTACTTTAGAAAGTCCTTTTCTGTACCTCTACCTTGTAGGGTGCTGCCTATGTTTTCTTCTAATAGTTTTGGAGTTTCATGTTTCACATTGAGGTCTTTGATCCATTTGGAGTTAATTTTTTGTGCAGGATGATAGATATGGGCCTAATTTCATTCTTCTACACATGGAGATTCAATTTTGCCAGCACCATTTGTTGAAGATGCTATCTTTCCTCTAGTGTGTGTTCTTAGCACATTTGTCAGATATCAGGTGGATGAAATTGAATGTACTCATGTTTGGGTCTTCTATTTTGTTCCATTGATCTACATGTCTGTTTTTGTGCTAGTACCGTGCTGTTTTATTACCATAGTTCTGTAATATAGTTTGAGATCTGGGATAGTAAAGTTCCTAGCATTGCTTTTTTGTGCTCACGATTTCTTTGGTTATTCAGTCTTTTGTGATTCCATATGAATTTTAGGATTTTTTTTTTCTATTTCTGTGAAGAATATCATGGGGATTTTGATTAGGATTACATTGAATCTATAAATTGCTTTTGACAAGATGGTCATTGTCACAATATTAATTCTACCAATCCATGAACACAAGAGGTCTTTTCATCTCCTTATGTCTTCCTCAATCTCTTTAAAGATTTAAAGTTTTCATTGTAGAGGTCTTTAATATCTTTGGTTAGCTTTATTGCCTGTGTGTCAGTGTACCTGTGAAGTGCAGTACCTGTGGAAGTCCGAAGAGGGTGTCATATCTGGAACTGGAGTTACCAACAGTTGTTAGCTGCCATGTGGGTGCTGGGAACCAAACCCAGGTCCTCTGCAAGAACAGCCAGTGCTCTTAACCCCTGAGCCATCTCTCCAGCCTGCATACTGTGTTTCTTAATCCACTGAGCTAGTTTGTGTTTTTTATGAGGGAGTTGAGGCCATTAATAAACTTATTATTGAAAGTTGTGTTGATTATTGCTATTTTATTTTCAGTTCGTGTTCTTAGTCCTGTTTTGTGTTTCTGCAGTTAAAACTTCATTTGTTTTCTTTCTATAGCTTCTTGGGTATGGTTATTCTTTCTTCAGTCTTTTGTATTGCTTTGCATATTCTCTTTAAGTCTATTTGTATCATGGAAGATTTTTCTTTCCCCTTAAACTATAAAAGATAGATTTGCCGGGTAAAATATTCTATGTTGGCATCTATGCTCATTTAAATTTGGAATACTTTGCTCCAGGCTCTTTAGCTTTTATAGTTTGCATTGCAAAGTCAGCTGTAATTCTGACGGGTTTTCCTTTATACGTGACTTGTTTTTCTCTTGCAGCTTTCAGTGCCCTCTCTTGTTTTGTACATTTAGTGTTTTTACTAGAAGATGCTGTGGGAAGTTTCTGTTGTGGTCCTATTTGGTGTTCTGTGTGCTTTTTGTATCTGTATGGGTGTGTCTTTCTTTAAGGAAGTTTTCTTCTATAGTTCTGTTGAGGATCTGGTCAATGCCATTGGTCCGAGATTCTTTTTTTTGTTGTTGGTTTTTTTTTTGTCTTTTTGAGACAGGATCTCCCTGTAGCCCCAGCTGTCCTGAAACTCACTATGTAGACCAGGCTGGCCTCGAACTCACAAAGATCCACCTGCCTCTGCCTCCCAAGTGCTGGGATTAAAGGCGTGCACAACCACGCCTGGCTGGTCCGAGATTCTTATCCTTCCTGTATGCCTAGATTTGGTCTTTCCACAGTGTCCCACATTTTCTGCATATTCTATTCCTGTTTTTCGTTTTTGTTTTTTTTTTTTTTCATATTCTTTGATTGAGTGTTCCAATTCTTCAACTTTATCTCCCAGTCTTGATGGTCTGTTTTCCATTTGATTCATTCGTCTGGTGAGGCTTTCTCCTGTTTCAAATTGGCTTATTGAGATTTTCGATTCCATCTTCATTTCAGCCTGTTTTCTTTCAATATTGCTGTCTCTTTAGTGAATTCACTCTTCAAATCCTGAATTATCTTTGTCATTCCATTCACCCATCTATTTGTATTTTCTTGAGCTTCAGTGAGGCGTTTATTCTGTAATTCCTTGAATTCTTGGAGTTATTTGTGTGTTCTTTACAAGTTGTTGAATTCTTTGATCATGTTCATGATTATTCTTTTAAATTCTGTGTCCTTGGGTTCCTCTGGATAGTTCTCATTGTAGAATATGTTTCTAGGACTGGTGGGATTTGGTAGGGACGTATTCTCTTGATTGTTCATATTATTTATGTTTTTGTGTTGTAACCTGGGCATATGGATTTCTTTTGTTAGCTGGTCTGATATGAACTTCTAGCTGCCTTTGTTGAGTTGAAGTTGGGTTGTGTTTTATTGTCACCATAGATTGGTTGCTTTCTGATCTGGTATGAATAGGTAGTTGGTCTGTGCTTCGGGTTCTTTTGATTTTTTTACTGGGACAGATGGTTCCAGGCCAGCCAGCAGGGTGAAGGGGTCTAGGCCCAGGACAGCCAGTGGCAACAAGGTGGGCCAGTTCTAACTAGCTTAGCCAAGTAGATATTAGTCCCAGAGCAGTGCGAATAGGGCTGGTCTCAAAGCAGCAGGATGGTGACCCCGTGGGCCAGATCAGGCTTACTCACCAGACTCGTTGGGCTCTTTCTGGCATCAGCAGTGGCAGCAGGAAGGGGCGTAGGCTCAAGGCTAAAGGACTTTTATCGTTGCCCATATTAGGTCACTGTAAGTTGAGAGGAAACTAAGGAAAAAAGACTCTGTATATCCTCTTTGTTTTGCTAGAACAGATTTCTTAGGATTAATAAACCTGCATTTGAGGGGAAGAGAAGAAGACAAGACTGGCCAGAAGTACTTTTCAGACTCCTGCTGTAGGGAAGTCTTGATCTTGGGATGTGTGCTGAACAGATGGGTTTCCCTTCCAAGGCACTCACTAACATGGCCTATGTCCTTCTACCTGGTGTTCTGAATGGAAGCTCCCCCTGGAGTCAGTTTAAGACCTGACCCTGCTCAGTGGCTGGTGACTTTGAACAGGGTGCTCCATCTTTCTGGCCTCTCCATCTCTCAGTTTCCTTATTTGTAAACATGAGCAGATAATAGGACCTTCATGTAACTGTAAGTTTTGATGAACTCACATGCTTAAGGAGCTTAGCATCGAACAGGCACAAAGGAAGTTCTTGTTACTGTCTGACTCTTGGTAACATTATCTGATCTCACCACTGTCAACCTGCCCTCCTGCATCTTGTCTTTCAGGTTGGAGGTGTGCAGTGTTTGGGAGGAACAGGTGCACTTCGGATTGGAGCTGACTTCCTAGGGCGATGGTACAATGGCACAGACAACAAGAACACACCCATCTACGTATCCTCGCCAACCTGGGGTGAGTCTCTTAAGCTGCTCGAGAGAAGCAGAGAAACCAGAAGGGATAACCTAATGATGCTCCCTGGCTATATGAAAAACAATCTAGCCTTGGAAAAGCTGGCCTTGGGGAGTCCTTGAGCACTGGATTATGGCAGTACCTGACAAACCTCCAGCTCAAATTCCAGTTAGGAATACCTTCCCCAAGATTCTTGGTAGTTTTGTATTTGGTAGTCTTGTATTTTAGTCTATGCTGAGACTCCCTAGAGGCGGGGCAAAGGTGGGTGCAGAAAGTGGCACTGTAACAGGCCTTGAGTCTTGAGTTTTATGAATGGGCTGGGTCTGTTTTGGGTACCATAACTCAATTTCTAACCTCCATGACGCCGAGTGGACGCAGCCTGAGGTCCCTGAGGCTGACCTGCATCCCTCCTACTGTACCTCCCTGGATTTGTAAAAGCACTTGTTTTGCCTCCTTGCTTTGCAGAGAACCATAATGCTGTGTTTTCTGCTGCTGGCTTTAAAGACATTCGGACCTATCATTACTGGGATGCAGAGAAGAGAGGCCTTGACCTCCAGGGTTTCCTGAATGATCTGGAGGTGGGTGATTTAGAAGAAAAGCAAAGAGAACGCTGTGCTATTGGAACAGCAGGGAAAGCTTTTGGATTAGTTGATATGTGAGAGTCTGAGGCTTTTCTCCAAACCAGACAGTGGATTCTAAAATAGGCATGTAAAAAAGGGATCTCATAGAGACATGAAAGAACTCTAAGAATACAGTTTACTCTTTGTCCTTTAATGCTGACCTGTGTGCTGCTGACTGTCTCCTGATGACCCTGTTGTGTCAGAGCTGATGCAGCCTCCTTCTCCTCAGAATGCTCCCGAGTTCTCCATCTTTGTCCTCCACGCCTGTGCACACAACCCAACTGGGACTGACCCGACCCCAGAACAGTGGAAGAAGATTGCTGCTGTCATGAAGGTAACTGCTCTTCTGCAGCATCTGTGCTAAACAGGATGTGATGTTTAATGCATTCAAAAGCATAGTCTGCTTATTGGACAATCTGAAAGATGGAGTAAAGTCCAAAGAAAAATAAATCCTATTACTCAGATACTGTTAGTGTTTTGGTGAATAAAATGGTGTGTGTGTGTGTGTGTGTGTGTGTGTGTGTGTGTGTATGTATGTGTGTGTGTGTGTGTAGCTTTTAAAATGCATATGTATTTTACAGAGTCATTTGTTAATACTGTTTTGCATCATACTTCGGTGGCTTTTTATTTCTTTGTATACATACCATTTGATGTTTCGTAGCCTCACTCTTCAGAGCCATATCCTTCCATGGATTTGTCATCTTGGGGATTGGGTAAATCAGTTGCGGACTTAGGTTTATTTCAGATTTCTTACCTGAGTTAATTCTGTAATAACACTTATTTCTTTAGGATTACTTTCTATGTTAGAGTCTAGTTCCAGATGTGTGTATTCTCCATTACTGTGCTTATGGGATACTTACTGAGGAACTTTGTTTGCACTGGGTATCGTTGGGACTTGGTAGTGAACAAAGCAGATGTGGCTCCTGCCCTCAGAGTGCATAGCTGTTTTGGAAGACCAATTCAGTTCTAGGATAGTTAGGATACTCTGGAATGCGGTGTGGATGAGCACTGTGGGGTCCATAGCCCAGGCTTTAGTGCTAGTCGTGGCTGAAATCCTTTCTGGAAGAAGAAGTTTCAGTGTTGAATCTTGTAGGAAGAGGATCTGAGAAGACATTGGCAGGAGGGAGCAGATGGAAAGCTGGCAGAAGGCAGAGCATGGTCACGAGGGAAGTAAGGACATTCTTGTTACTGCCTGGAGTTCTGAGGAACTTCAGAGGGCAAGTGATGTTAGAGAGTAAACAGGACTAGCCTTGACGTGCATTGTCTTAACGATCACCCTGGTAACACGGCATGGAATGGATCAGAGGGAGGCAAGATGACACAGCTGAAAAAGCAGGTAGATGACGCCAGTGTCCAAGTAGGAGTTGGCAGCAGCCGAATGAAGTGGGCGGCAGTGGGGAAATGAGGTGCCAGCAGGTCCTCAGGAGGCAGCACTGACGGGCTGGTGTGATTGGATGTGGGGGATGAACTGCAGAAGTTGGGGTCAAGGTACACTTGGGTCTTTGGTTTGGACAGTTCAGGGGAGAGAAGTGGTGTCCACTCAGAATGTCCAGAAGGAGCCGGAGGTTCAGCATGGGTAGCTCTTTGAGATGAGAGTGGTCAGAATAGAGGCACTCTGCCTGCTTTGTCTTGAGTAGGGTAGTATAGCTCTGAGGTTGAGGAGGCCTTGTGGATGCCAAGCTTCAGTTAACTTACCACACCAGGAATTCATGGAGAAGGAGCCACTGACACAGGACAGTCTCTACAAACTTCAAAAATAAGCCAGTTGACAAAGCTCTATTTTCATACCTTAGTACAATGTGCTGTTAAGCAAGGTTTACCGAGATAGCTGTTTGCGACTTGATATTCAGTAAAACAGAATTAAATATAAAGTGGCAGGTGGATGAATGTGTACAGACAAGAAAGTTCAGAGAAGTTCCTTGTAGGCACCAGCTGGGGATGGCAGGGCCTATGTCTGAGGGTGCTTCCAGTGGATTTCCTGTCCTGATTTCCTTTCTTCCTCGCAGCGCCGTTTTCTGTTCCCCTTCTTTGACTCAGCCTATCAGGGCTTTGCATCTGGAGACCTAGAGAAAGATGCGTGGGCTATTCGCTATTTTGTGTCTGAAGGCTTCGAGCTCTTCTGTGCCCAGTCCTTCTCCAAGAACTTCGGGCTCTACAGTGAGTGCTTTCCAGAGTCGAAGCCCTATCTACCCGTCCCCCAATACCCCATCAGCAGCTAAGTCTGATTCTTATCTTTTCTCTAGATGAGCGAGTGGGGAATCTGACTGTGGTTGGTAAAGAATCCGACAGCATCAAGCGAGTCCTTTCCCAGATGGAGAAGATTGTGCGAGTTACTTGGTCCAATCCCCCCGCCCAGGGAGCACGAATCGTGGCCTCTACTCTCTCCAACCCTGAGCTCTTTAAGGAATGGTAGGGGGCTTGAAGCCTGATGGGTAAGGGGTGGGAATGCAGAGCTTAACTGTTCCACGGCATCTAACTAGGTTTCTTTCTTTTTTCTTGGGGTCGGAGGCACCCAGTGAGTGGTGTAGCTTCCACTCCCTTTTCACCCAGTCTTCCTCCCTTAAAGTTGGAAAACAGGAAGAAATTCCTGATAGACTAGAATAGCTTTCAGGGAGTATGACCATTTGGGGGCTCTTCCTTGTCTCTAATTTACATATATAATAGCACCCCCATATCCACAGGGGATATGTTTCAAGAACCCTATGGGGTTCTGAACTTTGTCTGTGCTATTTTTTCCTATGCTTAAATACCTATGATAAAATTTCACTTACAGATTAGGCATAGCAAAAGGGTTAGTAATTATAGCCAGTAAGGAAATGGAACCATTGTAACAATATACATAATAAAAGCGATTTCAAACTTACAAAGCCTTTACTTCTGGAATTTTCTACTTAATGTTTTCTGCCTGTGGTTAACCATAGATGGCTGAAACCACCGGAAGTGAAACTGTAGATAAGGGTGAAGACTTCTGTATTCTATCTTATTTTAGAGCAGAACAGCTTTCATGTAATAGTGAAATGTACATTAAGTATATCTACTAGGCCTAGTGGACTATCTTCTCCTGTCTGTGTCAGCACCACAGGGACACCTGAATAGAAACGTTAGTGGTATTGCAGCAGGCATACTGAGAGTAATCCTAGGCTCCATCAGTAAGCACAGGCCTTGCTGCCTTCCCTCTAAGTCTGTGTCTCTGGCTGCTCATTCACCTTTCCAGGTATCCGTGTCCTCTAATAGACAGGTTGTGATCCCATGTTCAGCTTGTAGTTTAAATTACAGTTTTTGAACCTATGCATTTTTGTGAACCATCTCTCCTGTGTGGATGGGTATTTATACCACTGTCTGTGCTGCAGGACAGGTAATGTGAAGACAATGGCTGACCGGATTCTGACAATGAGGTCTGAACTCAGGGCACGGTTAGAAGCCCTCAAGACTCCTGGAACCTGGTCTCACATCACTGAGCAGATTGGCATGTTTAGCTTTACTGGGTTGAACCGTAAGTGGCCTCTACCCCCTTGAACATGTGTATGGCACAGAGATGCAGCACTTAGCCAGCTGTTTCCTAATTGGTCAGACATTACTTTGGATGGGGACAAGTTAGGTTTTCTCAATCTTGAATCTCAAGAGCATTGTTGTGGTCTGCCCTACTGACTCATGATTTAGATAATTTCGTTTTTGTGGGTTAGGAAGTAGCTTGGAGCCAGCTGGGAAATAACAGGATTTGTAGCTTGGAACCTTAATTTATGGACAGTCTCTCCAAATTGCCAAATACCTTTTGGCTTTACCTTGTTAATATTACATATGATTCTTTAGGGATCAAAATTCCTAACCAGTCTTTCCTAGTCTCAAGGTATTAGCCTCAAAAAAAAAAAAAAAAAAAAAGGCTGGGGCTGGAGAGATGGCTCAGCAGTTAAGAGCACTGGCTACTCTTGTAGAGGACCCAGGTTCAACTCCCAGCACCCATGTGGTGGCTAACAACTGTCCATAACTCCAGTTTCAGGGGATCTGACACCCGCTTCTGATCTCTGCAGGCATTGCATGACATGGTCCACCTACCTACATGTAGGCAATACACTCATACACATAAAATAAAATAATTTTTTTTTTTTTAATGCAAAGTTAGGGGCTGGAGAGATGGCTCAGTGGTTAAGAACACTGGTTGTTCTTGCAGAAGACCCGGGTTCGAACCCCAGAACCTACATGGCAGCTAACAACTGTCCGTAATTCCAGTCCAGGGGATCCGACAGTCTCTTCTGACCTCCGTGGGCATTGCATGACACGGGTGCACTTACCTACAATCAGGCAATACACAAATACACATAAAATAAAAATAATTTTTAAAATGCAGTTATCCATTCATTTCATAAATAAAAATACTAGGTAGGTAGTTAGAATTAAAAGCTCATTGGAGGTTTAGTGGCAACCATGTGTGATTGTAGCCAGCTGTTAGCCTGGCATATATAGCGATCAGGGGCCCCTTATGATGATAGAGGTACTTTACTTAATAAGTAATTCTTGAGCACCTGCTGGACACCTGCTGTTAGTCTGGTGCAGACTGGCCACTTGTCTGTATGCTTGATGGCTCTAGGGAGGGACTGTGTGTTGGCTTGTTGTAGGCAGGACATTGGATGCTCCAGCACATTAGGGCCAGGGCCATCAGAGTGCTAGCTTGAAATGGACTTAGAAAAAGCCAAAGGAAATAAATAGAAGGAAGTGGTAAGATAGTCTTATAGACCCCCTCAGAATACTTTGGGCTAAAATTGAGGTGACCTCAGGAAGTAAAGGAATAAAGGAATGGCTCAGCTGAAGGTATTCAAGATTGTGAAATCGAGAATTAGGTCGTCTGATTAAGAAAAGTCATTCTTATGCAATCATAGCGATATTAGGCATACTAGAAACGAGCATTGGTGTAGTCATCCTCTGAGTTCCCAGGCAGGGATGTTGCCCTATAAAAAGTCTTCTTCCCCTACTATCCAGAGTAGGAAAATAATTTTATTATAACTTGAAAAGAGGTGAGAACAAACCTCTGTTCTTAACTCTATTCTTAGCACTTGACATCACCTTTTTTTCTTTTAGTTTTTCCTTCCATCATTTTATTAAGAAATCTTACAGAAAACTGCAGTAATCACACAGTGGACCCCTATCTGCCCACCACCTAGTTTCTGCAATTCTCTAATGTTACAATATTTCTTTTTTTTTTTTTGTCTTTTGAGACAGGGTCTCCCTGTAGCCCCAGCTGTCCCGGAACTCACTATGTAGACCAGGCTGGCCTTGAACTCACAGAGATCTGCCTGCCTCTGCCTCCCGAGTGCTGGGATTAAAGGCATGCATCACCATGCCCGGCTCTACAATATTTCTGTCAGGACAGGGGCTTTTAGCCTGGCGTCTAAGGATGTGCTTTAGATTTGTGAACATCCCAGAATTATAGTACGAAAAATTAGATAGGTGGACATTGATCTTTTTCTAAGGAAGAATTCAGAACTACTAGTGCCTCAAATATACTTGTGCCTCAAATTCCTCCCTAAAAGTAGAGGTCTTATTTTCTATTGAAAAAAAGAAAAAGAAAGAAAAAAAGAGCCCTTATGAGAAGGGATGCCTCCGAGTAGGCGTTTGTAAGCCCCAGTGTGCCTTTGGGTCTGCTGGCTGGGAGGCTGGCTTGTTCTCTTTGGATGAATGTCATTTACACCTACAGATTGTCATTGTGATTACATTACATTGTGATGACATTTACAGTCAAGGTGACTTCTGAGGCTTTTCCTGTTTGTTTGCTTGCTTGCTTGCCTGCTTGCTTGTTTGGAGTATTGGCAGGAGACTGCACAGAGTCCAGGTTTGTCACTTTCACAGAGGGACAAGTGCAGCGTTGTAGTGAAGAGTCCAGCATGAGCTGAAAAGTGACATCCACCACTCATCAGCTTGTGGTCTTGGGAAGACCAGTGAATTTTTCTGTGCCCCATCTGTAGAACAGGGATAAGGTTATTACCAAGAATACTGAAGTGAACCAGGTGTGGTGGTACATGTCTTTAATCCCAGCATGAGGGAGACCGAGGCAGGTAGATCTCTGAGTTTAAGACTAGCCTGGTCTACCTATTGAGTTCTAGGCCAGCCAGGGCTATATAGTGAGACTCTGTCTTCAAAAACAAAACAAGCACATAAAAGAATATTGAAGTGCTCAGAACACTGCCTAATGTGTTGGGTTTGCCTCTGTGGTTCATACGGTTTTATTATTCCCTATCTTCAAGGTGCTAATTAAACAGAAAAATCCACTAGAATTCATCAGATTTGAAATAAAGCAAAAAATCACTGTAGGACTTGTAGGATTAAGGAAGCACAGGCAGTTCCTTCCTGTTTCATATGTGGTGTATTTCTGCAAATAGGGAATCCCTGTGTTCAGAGGGAAGCTACACAGTAAACGAAGATCTGATGCACAGGGGTCTTGGCAGTTTTTCAACCTGGTGGCTCCTTCACACGTCATTTATTAAGTACGCTCTGCATGGAATCTAGTCCAGTGTGTTGTGACAATGACATGTCAAAGGGCGGTCGTCACTGGTGCTCAGTAAGCAGACTGACTGGGGAAAAGAAAGAGGAAGCACCAGGCAACCATTTTTCCCTCTCAATGGAATGTCCTTATGTCTGGTGGTTATTTTCAGTTGACAGCGGTGTCTTGAATGTCACGTGCAAGGTTTGGTTGAGAGGTAGTCAGTCCCAGATTAGAAACTACCCCTCAGTAGTAGTCATACTGTGAACTTTCTGACAATTGGAAAGTTAACTACTAAGTCCTTCCAGGTTCTAGTGAGAGTAGTTTTCTATTTGTTGATGGGACAGAATGGCTTCTTTTGTTTAGCTTGTATATGTTAAGGATAAAGATAGTAAATTGTAGCTTCCTGCAATCATTGAATGTCCACTGCTTAAAGGATCCCTTGTGTTCTCATTCTGTCGTCTTCTCAACAGCTAAGCAGGTTGAGTATCTCATCAATGAAAAGCACATCTATCTGCTGCCAAGCGGTCGGATCAACATGTGTGGCCTAACCACCAAAAACCTGGATTACGTGGCTACCTCCATCCATGAAGCAGTCACCAAAATCCAGTGAGGAAACATGGTCCAGTCCACACCACCAAAGCGGTTCTGTCACGACTTCCCTGCCTGCACAAACCTAGTTGTACATATCCCAGATTAGAGGTGGCCATGGTGATGCGGCCACTGTTTTAAGCTAGACCTGTATGAAGAAGCCATTTCTTGAAATGAACCAGGGGCCTGGGATTAAAGCCTTTTGGGAGCCAGAGCAAATTAGTTTTTATTTAAGAATAAAAAGTACTTTGATATGGAATGTAGGTATCTTACCTTCCTCCCTAGACTTCTGTGGGAGCACTGCCCACATAGCCTTGTGCTTCTGTGAATTGCTTGACTCTGTGCAAAGTCCAGTCCCAAAGATCAAGTTGTCCGAGGAGCCAGGTGTGACTGTGGGTGTTGCCTGGGGCATTAAAACTCATCATCAACATCCAGAGTCTCTTGTCTACCTGATCTTTCTGCATGGTTGTCTCTTGTCTGAAACTCTAGATTTTCAAGGCAACTGTGGCTAGAAATAAATGAATCATGACACAAATGGATACACATATTTAATTTGAAACAAAAGTTTCACACAATGGTATTTGTGCTTGCACTGCTGCAGTACATTGTGATGTTTTCTTAAGTCTATTCTGTGTGTTCTGTTTCACTTAAAAAATAAAGATGCTGATCAATTGATTTTGGGATTGGTTTTGTGACACATTAATGGGTTGTAACGCACAGTTGGAAATGAAAGCTTTAGAGGGGCTCACTAGGGCTGAATGAAAAACTAAAATGTGTTCTTGAAATAGAAGGCTCTGTAGTCCAATCATACTGTAAATCCGTGTCGGTTTTGTAGGCTTATTCAGAGGCTAGGCATCTTCTGATTTTTCTTAAGAAAACTGGGATGATGTCATTCAGAGTGACTCTAGAATACCAGTCCCTCCCATAGCAACAGGAGGACCGCCTAGTCTATTGGAAAAATTACAGCCACTTAACCACAGATCACAATTTCCAGAGAGACTCGGGGACTCTGCAAATGGTAGGTTTGTAAAGTTGGTAGGGTTGATTCTTATTTTAAGGTAGAGGGTTACCACTTGGGAGTTTCAAGATATTTAAAAGTAACCTCAATATTTTGTAGGATTCCTTTGAGATATAAAATCCTACAGTTTTAAAAATGACCTGGAAGTTACCTCTCTAGCCTCTCTCCTTCAGTGAAACAGGCCCTTCTATATTGCCCTCGGCTCACCCGATCCACTGGGATGTGGTGAGGGATACTTTCCATGCTTAGCAAGGCATTCCATTCTGTCGGTGGGGCCTTCTAGTTCAAAGGATCTTTTACCTTGAGCCAGAATCTGATCGCCACTTGTCCTCCCCCCAACCATAGACAGTAAATCTCCTGGTACATGTAATGGAGGACTTTCCCATTATTTGAAAGTGGCAGTTGTTACTCATGGCTTTTGCTTTCCCAAGTGAACCTGTCTCCCCTCCTTCAGTGTTACGCACAGGTCTGTCCCCACCCCGCCCTGCTGCTGGCATTCACCCTGCAGGCAGGTGACTGGGCTGGTGGGTGTGGGTGGAGTAAACATGTCTAGATGCTAGCCTGCCATCTTGGTTTTCATTTGTACCTTTTTTTTTTTTTTTTTTTTTTTTTTTTTTTTTTTTTTTTTTTGTCTTTTTGAGACAGGGTCTCCCTGTAGTCCCAGCTGTCCTGGAACTCATCATGTAGACCAGGCTGGCCTTGAACTCACAAGGATCCGCCTGCCTCTGCCTCCCTAGTGCTGGGACTAAAAGTGTGCACCACCATGCCTGGCTCATTTGTACCTTTTATCAACGTTCTTCCAACTTAAGGATGTTGCCATTGGTAAGAGGCGATGAGTTTGGAATGAGTCTGCTTCCTGTCACTCTTCGGTCATTCTTGCTAGGTGTGGCTTAAGCCATTGTCCCAGGAGGATGACAGTACCTCCAGTGGGGTGAAATTTGGTTCTTGAAAGCAAAAAAGTCTTGATACATTAAAATCACCTGTAGCTCTCCAAAATGTCGTAATGTTTTACCCAATAAATTCTTACTGGTATTTAATTTCTCTTGGTAAGGAAAGGTAATTTTTCTGTGGGGGAAGTGCTAAAACCATTAAAATAATTAGGAAATGGCATTAAACCTATATGCCAGTACTAGAATTGGATTTATTATTTTTAAAAGATGTAAAAAAGCCCAGCTTCAATGTGAATTTGGCCTTCTTAATTTTGTGTTTACATACCTTTTGATCAGCCTGTCCCCCAATGTGTCTAGGGTTCTGTGGATGAGCGGGGAAAATGGCCGGACTTTTTGGCATGGGTGTCCGGTGGACTTCAGAGGAAGGACTAGTGTCACAGATTTTGCCGGTTCATTGAGCAAGGCAGTCAGACCTACCAGTTCCTGGTTGGGCAACCTCAAGTAAGTTGTCCGACCTCTTGGGCAATAACATCACCTGTGCAGCGCACTTTTGAGAAATGAGCAAATGGATCCTTATTAAAATACTTAGTAAGCAAAACAGCTAAACAACTGACACTGTATTAGCAAATGAATAGCCTCTATTGAGGATCTTAGAGAGGTTGTTCTGGCTTAGCCCACTAATGGTCTTGTTTGCTGGCTAAGAAATTAGTAGGTGTCAGATTCCAATTTACCTTCCTCCAAAACATTGAGAGCCCTACACGCTTTCCCAGCTGTCTGTCCTCTGGAGCATACCTGCCAGCCTCTCCTGTTCCTGCCTCTAGCGTTTGGCTGGAAACGGCTGGAGTTGGGCCATCTTGACCTCTCTCTGAAGGGTCTGCCATTGGTAAGGGGAGGCCGTGAGTCGGAATGAGTCTGTTTTCTGTCACTCCAGCCCGTGTGAGCGGTACAGGGTCTCAGGCACATGTTTGGGTCTAGTCCCCAAGGGCCTGGACCGTTCTCACTGGTCACATGGGGTTGGCAGATGCTGGCCCTTCTCAGTATTCTCTTAAGGCTTCTTTGTCTCCATTTACATTTGGGGTTCTTTTGTATTTTACTTCCCACTTCGGGAGGGCATTTGTTCCTATGAAATCTGACCATCTGGCCTCAAGTGGAGTACCAGGACTTTCCTGTAATCTCACACCTGACCACACTTGTGCCCCTCCAGGCAGGTGGGTCACAGGTGAGATGGTTACACCTGTACATTGTCCAACCTGCACCTCAAATAAAATCACTTTAGAATTCCAAAATTCCACAGGCAACTAAAACAGCCACAGTCCAGGAAAGGCATTTTTATTTTATTTAAAAAGTATGTACATTTTATTGAGCCTTCATAAATGCTTTATTTTAAAATCTTTTTTAAAACTTATTTTAACCTGAAGAAAATTTGTGGGGGAGGATTGGGAGATAGGGAGAGGAGTGGTGACAAGCTCTTGAGGGTTCTGCAGAGGGATGCGTATAATGCAACAGCAGTGGTCTGAGCCCAGTGACCTGGAGTAGTGAAGGGGAGCTTTGCACAGCAGGCTCTCCTGCAAGTTCTTACTCAGAACTCCTCACTTGCTGGTCTGGGTCCGAGGCACCCAGCACTGATGGCTGTCACTGTCTATTCTGACCAGGCAAGAGCAGGTAGGAGGGGTGTCTGTGGAGTTAGAACACATGCACAGCTAAGCCTCAGGCTGGCCAAGCAAGGGGCATGTGAACGCCAGCGACACATTACTGGAAGAGGCACCTCTAGCTCCAAGTCTTCCCTCCCATGGGCTATGGCCCTCTGGCTGGCAACACCTAATGTGGTTTCATGGACAGTGGGAAAAAGTTATGTGGGATGTAGGTTGTACAATACTGTATGGTATGCCAAGAATTTTTAAGGACTCCATTGTGGTATGTGCCAGCCTTCCCCACTGACCAGGACACTTGACCACTTACAATTAAATACAACTCTCAAAGTGCCCAATATTCACTTCACTCTGCATTGCAGAAACATTGGACTGAAAGTTCGACCATTTAAAACTGTTTTAAAGCCTTTGTGGGTCCTAGAACTTTAAGAATCTTAAGAAAACCATCTTTCTGAAAAACACACAAAAATACAAAGTTCTGACGGTTTTAAGGGTTTCATAGACCCTCTGAAGTTGAACGATGGACCCCCTGGGGTGATGGACCCCAGGTTAACAACCCCTGAGTTAAATAAAGTTCCTTGGGCAAACATTTCCTCTGAGACACAAATAACTTAGTGGAATTTTAAATTGCCCACCTGCCTGTGACTGAATGGGTATGCGGAATGAAGTTTGGGAGGAAGAGATGGGCAGACTGGACTATGGGAAGTATGGAGATTCAGCAGGCAGCACAGGGTTTCTGGGTACTGACTGGAGGCATCTAAGGGGTGGGAAGTGAATCAGAAACCCAAATTCAAACTTCAGATTTAAATTTCCCCTTAGTCTGGCTGTCGTTCCCAATCAGTTTAGTCCTGAACTACCTATGTATGGTCATTCTGCCATCTTGTGGTTATGCTTGGAATTGCACCTTCCCCAAGCTCCAGGACCAAGACCAGAGATTTAGTAGGTTTTTGAAATGACGTACTTAGCTGACCTGCAAGGTGAATCCTAAGAGGCTGGGGGTGGGAGTATGTGTAAAAGAAAAGTGACTGGTCAACAATCATGTGTACTGCACACTGAAGTCCCGTGAGATCACGGAGCATCCTTCCTGGCTAACCTGGGCACTCTTTGGTTTATCATGGCTAAACTCACTTTAACAGCTTAGAAGTTTTTCATTCAAGTTTTTTTTTTTTTTTTTTCCCTGCTTTAATTTCCACTTAAAACCTGAAGTTTCGTGTCTGGCTTCCAAATGGTCTTTCTGCTCCCTGATTCTCTTCTGAAGCAGGTTTGTTGATAGTTCAATGACTAGAAGCCCAAACTAACGCGTCCCTGGAAAAAACACGGGGCTTCAGCTCTCATTCTTTCTATCCCGGCTGAGTTGCCCTTCCCCAGGGTGCTCAGAGCCGAGTACCTATCAGGAAATCAGTCTCTGACAGTTTCTATGCTGTGATTTCAATCACATGCAGGCACTGCCAAGTCCCACACTCTGAAGTTTGGGAGGAATTTCAGTTCCAGCCCCGGAGCTGGTCTTCATACCTGCTCCTCCAGTTTCCTATGTACCTGTCTGCCAGCATCACCTTCTGAGCTATACTAAGCATGGAATATGGTAGAAAGGATCATTTTGTTCTGGAGGAAAGAAGTGAGTTCCAGGGTATGGGTCTCTGATGGCCCAGGAACACCAGAGAACAAAGAAGTCATGAGTCCCACATGGCATGATCAGTTTGGGGTCATCTCTCCTCTGGTCTTCTGGCATCTTCTCTTAGAGGTATCTCCTTCTGTGTCAAACTGGAGTCAACTAGTATAACTTGCCAACTGATAGCAAGGGGGTGAAGAGGTGGAAGGCAGAATGCTCTGTCACCAGTGGGAGGCCTTGGGGGAAGCAAGTGATGGGAGGGCAGGTCCTCCCCCAAAGCCTTGGAATCTCACACCCAGCCCATGAGTTCTCCCCCCCATCATGTGATCAGGGGTGTTAAATTGGAGTTTTCCTCAGAGGTTCTCTCTCCATCTGCTGACTTCTTCCTTCTCTGACCACCTGAAAAAGTTTGTCCATATCAATCTGCAGGGCTGGGAGGACATTCACATGCTCTTGCACTTAGGACTCTTCCAAATAGAAGCAGAAATGGAATCAGGTTTTGGTTGGAA